ACCATATGATTTCACTTATATGTGGAATCTAAGGAACAAAAAGAACAAACCAATCAAAAACAGACTCACAAATATAGTGGACAATTTGGTGACAGACAGAGGAGAGGGGGTTGAGGGGGGCTGGGAGAATGGGGTGAAGGATTAAAGAAGTACAAATTAGTAGTTGACAGTTGGGTGCAAGGATGGGGATCATGGCAGGGGGAATGCAGTTAACATTAATATGATGACTAAGTGGAGGGCCAAGGGAGGGAGGGAGTAATTGGGGGATTCGTTTTGTGAACAATAAATGTCTAAACAATGTACTGTATACTTGAAACTAATTTAAATAAATTAATTTACTTAAAAAAATCACTGGTCTATATAACAATAATGCTAGAACACACACACACACACACACACACACAAAGTTGCATCTCCTTGAGAGAAGCTAGGTCCCATGTGGAGTCTGAGCAGAAAAATACTATGGGAAATGCATCAGTCTCATGTGGAAGGGGCATGGAATGGAGCTGAGTGAGCCTGTCCACGGTGTACTAGCCACACATAATTGGAAGCCATTTGTCAGCAGCTATGCAGTTTAATAAAATGAAAAAAGCATTCTTTATCATTTTAAATACAATAAGTAGATCATGTTTTGTGGGACCTCTTCTTTTAAATACCCTACTTTTAAAAAGACTTTTATTTCCTGTGATTTAATTGTTGCAAATTTGCATTAACAATTCAAACTAAGTCAACCTAGGGTATTCCTTAGACTGCTATGTACATACTGGTGTATTTACAGGGCAGATCGTTATAGATATCCAAAACAGGCTCTTTCTCTTCTGATGGCTCTGAGTTTTCTAAAATGTTGCTTGTCTCTGTTAAATAGCCCTTAGAGTATCTCTTATAATCTATATAGAACTTATAATTGATATAGTTCTTTTAAGCCCTTCAGATTCGTTGTTCTGTTGAAATTGGTGCCATCTTTATTAGAAACTGTAGTTCTTTACTTGCTTATTGTCTGTCTCTTGTACTAACATGTAAGTTCCATGAGGGCAGAGGCTTTCTCATGTACAATATCTGCCCCATAGTAGATGTTCCATAAATTTCTTCATTCTACAAATACTTTGGCATGCAAAAACACCTAATTTTTCATTAGTCTTATTAAAAATCTTGTTTAAAAAGAAAGTTTTAGTGGTTATCTAAAATAATCTAAGATTGTTCTGGTATTTTTTTTAGTTTATTAGAGAACACAGAAAAGAAAAAGAAAAAGAAAAAATTGATGATAAATTTATAATTTAGGTGAAGACCAGCAAGTAAGTACTTGAGTACCTATTTCACTCAGATGTTTTCTACCTCCAATAATTTTTCTCAAACGTAGAGGTGAAAAGATTATAATACTTTTCAAGTATGACAACTATTTTAGTTTTTCGAGACTTTTCTTTACTTAAAAAGCTGCTCAGAATACTTAATTTAGTTTATTTCTATGTCAGCCTGAGTAAGGTCTTTTAAGGCAGACCATTTGTTATAAACTAATTATTTTTATGCCTAGGGAAACTACTAGTTTGCTTTGTGCAAGGCTGAATAGTAGTCAAAGAAATATAAATTCAGCCAATAAAGATTATTAAAGATTAAAGAATGGTAATACCCAATTAGGTTAGGGTATAAAAAACTTTACTGATCTGTTAATTGATACAACCTCTATAGAGAGCAGTTTGAAAAATATTTAAACAACCTTATTACAAAATTTCATGACAGATAATTAACATTGTTAGGTACTGTGTTAAGTGAACATTTTTACCCTTAAGTCAGCATTTCCAGCTATTTATCTAAAGATACTTTACACAAATATGTGTGTCTACTACAGATTGGTAAAAATGAAAAATTGGAAACAACATATCCAGCAATAAGAAAACTTAAATAAATAATAGAATGTCCATACACTATAATGCCAGGATACTGATTTGTTGATTTGGAAAGATATTTGATATAGGAAGAGGGCAAATGATAGAATAGTATAGAATGATTCCATTTTCATATTGTCTAATACACATAGAAAAAAAATCTAGATTACCTAGTTTTATCTTTAGACAACAAAATTAGCCAATTTTTCCCTGTTCTGTTCTTTTTTATTTTTATTCAAATAACTTTAGCAATACTTTTAACCTCATGGACCTCCTAAAAAGATCTCAGGGACTCCCACTGGTCAATCTACAGACTGTTTTTGCTAACTGCTATTTAGTTAATGGTTTTAAATGTGACTTCATATCAGAACCTCTTGGGTTAATGGTTTAAAGTACTTGATCATGAACTCTATAGGTCCTACCTCTAGAGATTTCACTTTTAATACATCTAAAACAGGACTTGGGAATATTTTTTAAAAATACACATTCCAGGTATGTCTGAATGTAACACAAAATTATACTTCTCTAATTTTGATACTTAAATTTTTAAAATCCATTTACCCTACATTTAATGAATGCTTACTTTGTGCAGGGCCCCAAAATTATTTAAGCAGATTTGGTACTTATTAAAGGAATAAATGTTTTTTGTTTTATTCAATATATTAGATCTTGAGTGAACCTGTTAAATAATTTTTTTCTCTTGCCTGCTGCCACAACTTTCTCTGCCACTCTACTTCACTGTACTGAGAACTGTGGAATTATTGCCATAGGGAATGATTTTTCAAATGCTAGCTCAAGGTAAAGTACTTTTAACTAGTAACCCAGGAGGTTTTTTAAAATTTAATTTTTATTTTTTCCTGGGAGGTTCTGAAATACAGTCAGATTTAAAACCATTAACTAAACAGCAATTAATCAAAGAATGGTGTGTGGACCCTTATGAGTCTCTGACACCTTTTTTAGGAGGCCCATGAGGTCAAAACTATTCATGAAACTATGTCATTTTTGCCCCACTGGCTGAAAGGTAACAAGTGGTGGGTAATACTATTGGTACCTTGACAGGAATCAAGGCAGTGGCACCAAATTAGCAGTCATTGTATTATTCATGGTGGTAATATAATGCAAGTGTCATTTAAGAATGTCAGTGATCTTTTTAACATGCTGTGTGATGAAATGGAATGGGCACGGAAGGCACTGCTGCACACTCAAGTATTGGTTTGTCTCAAGGAAAAAGCTCTTGAGTGATAAGAGTGGTGAGGTGAACTTTTTTTCACTCTTGAGTGATTGACAAACTCCAGTTATTCAGACATGAGTATTTGGCAGACATTTTCTCAAATGAATCAAAGAAAACAATTGACTGTATTTGTTGCCAGTGATTAAAATTCGAGGGTTCAAAAACAAAAATTAGAATTGGGGAAACATAACCACCATTGTGAGCTTGATAGCTCTCACTACCTAAAGACTTTTCTAATGAGACTGGTGGTAATATTAATGAAAGTGATTTTTTTCATATTGTGAAATATTGGAGTGAATATGGTACAATGAAAGTTTTAGTATTTGGAAGAGCTGCATAACTTAGTGAACCAATATATTCCAAATGACCATTGCAGGAGTCATTCAAAGTTCAAGGTATCCCAATGGATGGTAATGTAAAAGTACAGAATGTTCATGGTTATTATTTCAGTTTGTAACTTTAATCATCAGAAAGCAAATCAGAGAGTAAGTTTGAAGCTGAGAGACAAAAGCTTAATACACTGGTACCAAGATAATCATAATGATACTTGTAGAAGACACTATTAGGTGCCTTAAATAGTGGTGAAAATCTTCAGAGAGACACTTTACCTAGGCCATGATGAATGCATAAGTACTTATTGGAAAGAATGGGAAGAAGGGTGTTCTAGGCAGGGGAGCAGTATATGCATGAAAGTATGAAAACAAGTGGCAGAATATTTGAAGGCCTGTATGCCATGCCAGAGAGGTTGAGGACTATAAAGATTGATTAATCAATCAATGCCATCAGTTTGCTTTTTATGATTCATATATTTTCTTGGTACACAATTGTATATGACTGAAGGTAACATTTAGTGTAAGTTATGTGTGCTGTAATCAGAAAACAATGATTTGGTGGTCTTGGTTTCTCTAGCACTTTAATCTACCCTTACTAGCTCTGTGAACTTGGGTAAACTGATTATTCTCTCTGCCTCAGTCTCCTGATATATAAAATGGGGATAAGAACACTATAAATGTTCTAAGCTGTTTACAGTGCCCAGCCCAAAGCAAATTGTCAAATGTTAGTAGTGAATAAAAGTGTATTTCCTCCCGGGAGTCTTGCAGTGGCTACAGAGGAAAGGGGTTGGCTATATCCTCACTGATGCTTCTTCCAGCTCTTCATTTTATTCATGATTTGCTCTGCTGGTGAAAATTTTAACCTGCTTATGGTAAAAACATAAAATTATTTGTGTAACTGGCATTGGTATGTTGTACTATTTGCATACTTTTAAAAATAGTTTTGGATTGTGCTTTTGTATAAATTGTAGTTTTGATTTCCTTTTACATTTTCCAAATTCATCTTAAGACAAATGTGAAGGTAACATTTTTTTTCTATTCCCTATGCTGTACATGACATCCCCATGACTTATTTGTTTTATAACTGGAACTTAGAACTTCTTATTCCCCTTCAGAAGGTAATATTTTAAAAGAGCAGCTGATCTTAAGTATTATAACAGTGTATCCTGGCTCTTTAAAAATAAAACATCCTTTTTGTGTCTACATACTGTTTTTTTCTCTTATGCTAGGCTTCTCGAAAGCAGTGTGCCATATCTTAATCTCATTTAATGAATTTAAAACTTGGCTTAATCTCAGCTTTTAAAATATCCTTTATATCTTTATTGTAGGCATTAAGATATAATACAAATTTGACTCACATTTGCTGTTCTGTGGCTGAAAGCTTTTTATTAATATTACCTTTCCCTTGTTTGAAGAAATCTATTAGGGATTATGAGAAAACTTATAATTATTCTATAGTCTTTTTCTTGTATGGAATTTGATATTTTTTAACTTAGCTCCCTTGACTTCCCAAGGTCTGTGTACTTAGTACAGTGGCCTGTAATATAACGAGTGTTTTTACTTCTTTTTCAGATTATTTTTGGGGAAAAAACTTAAAGAAGTAACAGATAAAAAGAAAACTAGTCTCTTGCAAAACATAGAAGAAAAACTCACAGAAGCAGCCAGAGAACTGGGATATTCACTGGAGCAGAGAACCATGAAGATGAAACGGAGAGATAAGAAAGTATGATTTAAATCTTAGTCACTATTTTGCTATTTAATAGGGTTTTTTCCTCTTGACTCCTTC